ACAGGATTTGAGGAAACATATTCTGGAGGAGCTTGAACAGACTTTTCCTGATGAAGTTGACATGTATAGAGAAATCCGTGCTACTTCTGCAGCTGTAAGTTGTTTACATGGCTGAGATTGTGTCTACATCTTCATTACAATACTAGAGTAAGTCAAGTTGACACTTCATTTTCCATTCGAATTCAGGAAACAAAACGGTTGGCACAATCACAAACTGTGTTACCAAATGGGGATGCTAAGGTCAAGAGTGAGCTGTAAGACCTCAGTTCTCCTGTGGATCTTCTTACCTTTTAGAATAAAATTTCCTGAGTAGATGAATGTGGATGTAAACGAACAAAGCTCACTTGGGATTTCTGTAATATCTGTTGGTTCTTGAGAATCTCTTCTGCCTAGCCTCTGAGGTTTCTTGATGGGTAAGGTAGATGATTTCATGAGACTGTTAAAAGAGTCACACATAGGTGGTTACCAAATGAAACCATCTCTTAGTTCTATCTATCCATAGGTTTTGTGGATAGTATGTGGTAGATTCATATTGGAGACGTAAGGTTTGCCTTTTCCTAGGATTAGTAATCTTGGTTTTTCTTAGAAGAATAGTCTTAATCTGCCGAGAGAAGAAGTGATATTGCTTTGGATTGAGTTGGTTGTAATTTCAATGCTCGTCTTCTCATTTATGTTTTAGCTGTATCCAATTTTAGCTAGAGAAGCCTCATGGTGTTTAGATTGGCTTCAGTTTGACCACTCTCACTAGTGACTTGTGACCAGTAAATATAAGTGAATGGACCTGGCTCGTCTGTTTGGAAACCATACAGCGACCCAGCAGGGGATGCAGTGAGCTTTAGTCCCGGAGTACTTGAACTGCAGAGACTGAATTGAGCCTCTGTTTCATGAAAGGCTGATATTTGTTTCCGGTCACACCAACAAATGCGGTCAAATCTTAAGAAATTCCAGTTTTCTTTATACATTCAAATAAAGAGTTCATAATTAATAATTTACCTTCTACATTCACTAAACTCCGTCTCAAACCTAAATATTTCATCAATACTTTAACATAATTCACACATAAGAAAAGTAGACAATTCACAATTATGAGTAGGTTTCTCGAATTGAGCCAAGTTATGGTTAAAGCCGTTTAGGCAACAACCCCCACTTCTCCAAATGTTTCTCGATAATTCAATAGATATTGTTTGTATATTCAATACAAATTTTATTTGTGTTTCATAAAAACTCCTTTGTTTTGTATGTTTAGCATATTACAAAATTGTATACCAAACTCAAAAAGACATAAGAGACAGATTTTTAAACAAAGTTATTGTTTTTTTCTCAATTATTTGCAGTTTGTTAAATAGAAAAAATAAACTTGTAACTTGTAATAAACGTATTGATCAAAAGTATAATACAATTTTTTTTTAAATGTGTGGAAAACTAAAACCACATTCAGAATAATAACAAAATGACATAGTATACAAATATTGAAAATATCTTAAATGAATGTGCGAGAGACATGTGAATGTCACATGAAGTAAATGATAATGGTGAATAATA